CTTGTACTGATTATAATGTATATGTGTAGCCGGACTGCAGGAAGTGTGAAGTTGTAAATACTGGCTTCTTGCTGCCGTGGTCGGTCTGTCACTGTCACAGACGAGCTGGATTTTCTGGCCTTGTGGCTGTTATTCTGAGTGTCAGCATGTGACATGTGTTCATCAGATGGGTGAGCGGCTTCTCCCATATGGCGATGCAAAATAAAGATGGGTTGCGAAGACAGCAGCCCCGCGCGACTCTGTGTTCACGGTAACATCTGAAAAAGCTGGGAATCACAGCAGAAGAAGTTGCCAGTGATGCTGCTTCCAAGTGTTTTTATTTTATCACAGTTCTGTAATTTTCACAGAATGATGGTTTATTTGGGGCGCAAATAAATGAATTCATATATGTGCCACATAACACTTTGTTTTCTTAGTGAATTTATATATATATATATAGTTTGATTGTGTTTTTATTTTGTTGACTAAATTATAATTTACACATATATTGTCATTTTCTTGATTAATCGGTTAATCATTTGGTCTGTAAAATGTCAGTAGAGCTCATGGTAGGTTTTTAAAATGTCTTGTTTGATCCAACAAACAGTCCAAAACCCAAAGACTCTCAGTTTATCATACAAGAGTATGAAAATCTGAAAATATTCAAAAAATTTTGCTTAAATAATGAATTAATTAATCTTGTTAAGTCATTCTTTAAGCAAAAATCCAAAGAATTCAGCTTTTGGCTTTGGACTGTTGAACAAAACAAAACATTTAAAGATGTCACCTTAGGCTTTAGGAAGTTAACAGCTCAGCAGATGAATTGATCGTGAAAATAATCACACGATCAGAAGCCGTGCAACTCTGTTGTAATTCAAATATGAAGAAGTTTAATAAGAATTGTCTCCCTGCGATGATACTTCCACAGTCGACTGTGTGAACTCCAGTCTGTCTCCTTCTCCCACTGGAGATGAAAAAGAGAGGAAAGGGAGGACCGGAAGAGGAGCACATTTGGGATGGTGCTGGACTGTATTTGGCCTGCACAGGCATTACAAGCATGTGATAACTGCAACTGATCACAGGGTAAGAGAGAGAGAGAGCAGTCAGAAGAGTGTACATTTATTAACGCACTCATAGCTCACTCCAGACAGACCGAGACATACAAATGAAAGCTGCATGTCTGCTGTCTACTCCCTCTCCCTTGTACTCCCTCTTTGTGTAGTTTCTTTCTGTTTCCCATACTCCCATTTCTTAAATACCTTGAACCGGAAAATGGAGGAAACACCAAAATACAGCTCAGACATAAAGTAAATGATGCTGCAATTATTTTAACAACCCCTACTGTAGAGTGCTGCGAGTTAGATAGAAGTGATGGGGATTGCCCAGTAACCTTCAGGAATGTTGTTGCATAGTTATAAGACATAAATACTTTGCCACTTGCCACTTAGTGTCTCCTTTAAGACATAACTGTTGGATTTTTCAACAAGGAGGAAGAGGACTTTGGTTACCTTGGTTTCAGTGGAGCTGTGTGTGATGTTGGGTCTTCCGTTCAACACATATTTTTATGTCACTTTTGTTGTAGTTTGCTGTCGTTATGGTTGACAGCAGATAGGAACAGGACACATGGGGAAATGGACAGAGGAGGATGATTTGAGGTAAAGGTGGCCAGCCGTTGGTAAGATGTTACATGTCATTAGACTGCCGTGCAACCAGACTGACCCCACTGTCTATAAATCTTTCAAGGAAAGGAATCTGCGTCCTCATAGTTGAGTGGCACGTCTCATGGTTTGACATCGGCCTCTCTCAACATGTTCCAGCTTTTTAAATCTTGTCACTGCCGCACATGCGCGGGCCTGTCCTGAGATCCTGTGCGATGATCTCAGCGGTGGCTGCAGCTTGGCTATGAATGAGCGAAACTGCTCTGAAGTCGGTGTTTATGGAGGGCCCCGTTCTCTCGGAGGGGAGAACCAAAGTTAAATAAATACTTGCTCCATCCTGTCTGCTTTAAGGGCCTGAACACATGGCTTTGACGTCAGAGTGACATTAAACAGGGTGGGGTGACCCAGCCAGCTCCGACAGGCACATGCACATGCGCGCACACACATGCTCTTCCAAGGCTTGCTATTAAAATCTTAAAGTCTTAGTCTTTTTATTTTATTTTTTTTGTGAGTATCTGTCTATTTTGTCATTTTCGTCAATTTTTTCTCTATCTTTCCCCAAATATGTACAAGCATTGTCACTGTCACTTTCAACCTTTATCAGTGCTACAGTACATGTCTCAACACTTAGATTTCCCTCTAACAATATCAGCGTCCGCCAGGGAAGAAGTAAATCTCTGACAATTTGTTACTTTTTGTTGAGCTGGTTTGACTTTATTCATCAATCATGCTGTGTTTTTGGCTCGAGTGTCTGCAAGGATTTCTCCAGCAAAATAACCAGCCAGGTGCAACTGGCTTTCATCAGACAGTGTGTATGATAGCCAATCCAACATTTAACTCCAACATTTATCTTTGCTGCTCTTCCTTTTTTCTTTTCCTGTAACAGAGTACATTTTTGTGCGTGTGCTTGTACATTTACATCTGCGTGTGTGTGTGTGTGCCCTGCAGTTCCACAACAGGTCTATCAACATGCCCATCAACATCTATAACCTGAGACCAGTTGGATCTTAAAAAGCCTTGTTAACATTAACATGTAGCTGCTCATAACGATCCAGTCTAGCCAATTTATGTGCAACACAGTAAATAAATGTGTCCTTTGTTGAATGTGCGTGTTACTACTGCTTGTCCAAACAAATTAGCATGTAGTTATCTGGCTTGTTAGTATGTTTTTGGTCATTATTGTTCACTGTGAACATAGGAAAAGACTAAAAAGTATGACTGGTGTAGAAAAAGTGATGTGTTGCGGTAGAAGAGGGGTGGTTTGAGCATGCTCACTGTACATATAGTGTGCTTGTGTGTGTTGTTTTGCAGGTGTTTGACCATAGTGACCATATGTGTTGACGTTGAAGCTTTCACATGCAACTGCCGGACCAGCTGGCTTTTTGTGAACTTCAGGGAAGAGGATTTCCCTCTCTGTCGTCCTCAAGCTGTCACAGTCTACATGGTTCGCTCGAACTTGGACTAGTTTATTTACTTAGTGCTTTAAAACATGGAATTTAAAGTTATGGGAAAAAAGGGCAATCTGTACCCCAAGACAGTTGAGGGTTGAAATCCGCTGACTCTGAAACCAAATGTGTGTCTTTGCAGCAAGAGCTTTCTGATCTTAATGTGACCATCTAAATAACAATTAAAACCACAAGACTGCCAGTTTGTTGTTTTAAATAAGCTTTATTGGTATGAATGTGGATGATACGTTATTGTCCAAGCTAAATTGGTGTCACAAGATAGTTACCTATTCTTTGATCAGACAATCTCTATTTAGATAATAGTTTTGCCAATTTTATTCAGGGAAAGTTTTTGTATGGCTGCATTATTTAAATTGATTTTGAAAAAGGGCTTTGTAAAAAAAGATGTTTTTATTTTTATTGTTTATGTTTTCTTGTTATTTATTAAGTAAGATAGGTATGTTTTTGGTATCAAAACTCAGGTATCGTATCAGACAGGAATTTAGTGACTGCTCCTGGTGTTTCCATGCTTTCTGTAACTAGTGCAGCAAAGGAGATTAAAGCAATAGAAAGGGATAGCGCTGTGACATTCATAAATATTCTTACACCGTAGTAGGAGTTGAGTGCTCCATCAGATGCCATTTGGCAGTTTGTGTCTCTTTGTTTGTTATTGCACTTAATTGACTTAAATTCATATGTAGTCTGATTGAATTTTTTTTATTTAAGATTTTTTAAAGAACATCTAAAACAACCAAAGTGTGTGTGTGTGTGTGTGTGTGTGTGTGTGTGTGTGTGTGTATATATATATATATATATATATATTATATAAAAATAATGTAAAAATCCCATGTTATATTACCAGAGCCTAAACTGATGTCTTAAAGGCTCTCTTTGTCTGACCCTGAGTAAAAAAAAAAAAAAAAAACACCAAAGGAATTACATTTCCTGTACAATGGTGCAACCACAAGCAAAGTAAGCAAATTATCATATATCGGAAGTTCTAGCCAACTTAATGTTTGTTATGTTTTTAACCAGATAAATTATGATCATCAATTTCAATCATGGATACACTCTCACACAAACACAAATGCACGTTGTTACTGCTGTATAAGCTTTCCTCTTTCTTTTTAAATGTCTCCTATGTTTGTGTAAAGCTGCTAGTTTACAAGTCAAAGCAGCATTTCATCGGAACTCTACTTCTTCCTTAAGGAGTAAATACCTCAGTTCACCCCTAATGAGACACACATTCACACACACCCCTGCTGATGTTGGAATGAGCGTTTCAGTAAAATATATGGAGCGACCTCGGTCTTCTCAAGAGCATTGTTGTGCCTTGAGGTCGTTCACCCCTCACATCAGGGTCATCTGATCCTCAGAGAGGACTGTCCCACTACACTTGTGTGTGTGTGTGTGTGTGTGTGTGTGTGTGTGTGTGTGTGCGTGTGCGTGTGAGAGAAATAGTGTGTGTATGACATAACTGATGAACGTTATGTTAAAGTTATGTTTGGCTAATGTTTGACTGAGCTCCAGGGAAAGACCACACTGTGTGTGTGTGTGTGTGTGTGTGTGTGTGTGTGTGTGTGTGTGTGTGTGTGTGTGTGTGTGTGACATGATGTGTGTGTGTGTGTGTGTCATGATGTGTGTGCCCCATGATCTTTGAAGCTGTCAACATTCTTCACCACATGCTCTGTCATGATGCATAGAGGCGACTGGTGAGATGAACCAGCTGTCCCTGCCTCTGGTCACTGCAAGGTCAACATGCTCTAACACACACGCATGCACACGCACACACACGGACATTAGGCTGGATGTCCTCTTGTTTTCGAGTTGAAAATGCCAACCATTGGAAGACTCCAAGTGCAATGTTAAAACAGTGACTTAATTAACGGCTGATTTTAAATGTCTCTCTGTGTTCCAGGTGGAGGAGGGAAGAGGAATGGTCGCAGTAAGAAATGGAAGGAGATGCTGAAACTCCCCCATATCAGCCAGTGTGAGGAGCTACGCCGCATTATCGGTAAGAAACGGTGTGTGTGTGTGTGTGTGTGTGCGTGAGTCAAAAAGATAACGTGCCATGCTGTGTCGTTGGGGTGGGTCTGACTGTGGGAGGAAGTTCAGATTGGACTTCCTTCCTGTTTCTACCCGTCTCCACCCGCAGTTACAGGCAGGGGACAGGAAACAGTGTATGTATCAGTGTGTGTGTGTTTCTGACTCAGGGAATCTGTTTGCACAGCCGTTTCTTAATCTCAAAGTCTCTCTTAACATTGTGTGTGTCTCAGTGACACAGGTCTGCTAACACACCAAATCAAAAGGTCTTCACTCCTGCTTCCTTCCTGTTCACCACATCCAGGTTTGACTTAAAGATAGGGGAAGTAGTCTCTCTTGTGGCCCAGACAAGTGCTCTACTCCTGGGCTACATTATCCTACCCCCCACCCTGGTCCTCTGAATGCCACAGCACTCTCAAGTGTTTGTGTTTGTGTTTGTGTGTGTGTGTGTGTGTGTGTGTGTGTGTGTGTGCGCGCCTGTGTGTGTAATAGTGCGTCACAGCAATCTCTGCCAGAGATTGCAGTGCTACCCTCCCCCACATACTCTCCCTCCCTCATTTCTGTCTCCATGCCTCCCCCTCCCACTATCTGTATCTCTCTCCCTCCCTCTTTCCACCACTTCAGAGCAACATAAGAGTGGCAGAACAGGAGAGTTATGGAGAGAGCGAATGAAAAACGGAAACAGAGAGAGAGAGAGAGGGAGAGGGAGAGGGAGAGAGGCTTTTACAACAGGAGGAAAGATCTCTTAAGGACAGGAGAGAGCGGGAGGAAAGGAGGGAGGCTGAGTGAAAGAGATGTAGATCCACATATACTCCCTATGGTGATATCTCTTACTCAGTGTTGATTTTGTTCCTTGTCGTTTTGTCTTCACATTACAAATCATCCCTCGCAGATCTGATTATCATAAACTTGAAAGTATCTGTTGTAAGAGGCGTTAAATTACCTGCTTAAAAACAACACATAAATGCCACCTTAAGTGTGAAGAAGCATTGTACTTGTCATGTCTTACGTATTTATTGCCATTTGAATTATAACTTTGCAGAGGATTCTAAAAATGGGCTGTGTGTGTGTGTGTGTGTGTGTGTGTGTGTGTGTGTGTGTGTGTGTGTGTGTGTGTGTGTGTGTGTGTGTGTGTGTGTGTGTGTGTGTGTGTGTGTGTGTGTGTGTGTGTGTGTGTGTGTGTGTGTGTGTGTGTGTGTGTGTGTGTGTGTACGTGCACATCCTTGCAGCAGCTGTTGAGGGTTACATACGTCACTATTACATAGATGCTGTTGCGTAATTTCCCTATCACACCGAGCGCAGGATCAAAATAATCCCTTTGCCTACTTAAACACACAGACGTGTAGGCATGTACGTGCACACACACACCCCAGTGTGCTGAGACGCACACGCATGCCCTGACACAGTGTGGGCACAGCAGATAGAAGGATACAGTATAGTGGCTGATAGCAGTGTCTTTGTTGTGTCTTGATATTGTCAGGCATTTGACCTTAGCCTTGACAAGTGTGCAGGACTTCTAGGAAGCCTAGATTACTTTATGTGGGCTGCAGCCACTTTGTCTGCCAGCCTTAGGCCACTCTCCCCCCTCTCTCCCTCTCCTTATATCTCCCTTTTTTCTCTCCTCTGGTATCCATCCAATACATACAGTACATCTGCACCTATTGGTTGTGATCCCTGCGGGCTCTGCCTCAAAATAATGCACAGCCATTGCTTCCACTCGTGCACATTTGGATGGCCATTCACTGTCTCGCTAACTCACTCAGTCTCAGCTTAAATTGGAGTTTTAATTAAGTGGTAATTGCAGCTTACTTCACTGGCACAGACATTTACTAGTCCAGGCTAGTTCAAGCTTCACAACTCTCCCTTCATTATTTTGACACCTTTCATTTTCCTGTCCCAATTTTCTCTGACACCTTGCTGTCTTGTAACTTCTTATTTCTCTCTCTCGTCTTACTTTCACAGTTATTTTCCTTCAGGACACAGGAGAGGGTTCTCTTACGCAAAGAGGAAATTTTTCATTCGTGGAATGCTGGCCTACGTTCTCGTATTCAAATGATTTAGAGCCTGGAATCAGCTTGGACACAGGCACACATACATGCTCTCACTCACTAACTCAGAGCCAGGCCAAATAAACCGCGGTTTCTTTTTGGGTCTTTGCGCACCTGCAGAACTAAAGATTCGGTTCCAAATTGTAGACTGTGAAGTTAAAGAGAACAACATCTAAGAAGGGAGCAAGATAAAGAGAGGGAATGTTCAAAGACACATATGTGATTAAGCATAGATTCTATTGTGACAAAAAACTAGAAACGTGTGTACATAAAGTGTACATTTATCATCCCTTTTACATATTTTTTTTCCGGTAGGTTGACATGAATGGCCTCTGCAGTAGTTGTTGCTCTTACTGGAGTATGCTGTGTTTTTAGAAAATTGACTTGTTTACCATTAAGTTAAGAAAACATAGCTACTAAAATCATCCATGTGTCCATGGGTAAAGATTGTTGCCAAGTTGCAGTACTTTGTGTACTGTTAAAATGTAAACAAATTATGACAGAAAAATAACACAGTATAGACAGAACGGGCTGAGACAACTCCCCTCTATTTAAATACCAAGTAAAGGCCTGCCACCACAGTCGACAAAACATGTCTTAACTCTGTACCAAAATCCATAAAATGTGCTTTTTTTGGTTTTCAGTACAGTTTTTACAGAAGGCTCAGAATGTCTCATCAAAATGATTTATATATATATGTATCACTTGAATACACTCCCCTATTCATTCATATACACATATTTGTTTTATGTTGAAAACCTCTGGACAAACAGGCCAGAAATCGAAATAATTTGAATCCCAAACCTGTATAGTACCACTGGAATGCCAAATGATGGCATTTATGTGGCAGGAAGCTTTACTTATTCTGAAAATAACAATACATGGCATGGCTGTGCTTTAAGCCTATGATAAAATAAAGTGAAAACTGAGCAAAAGGGTTTAAAAGGTTCAATTCCATTAACTTGGATACATGGGTCATTTTAACGTCAGGTGTTTTGCCCAGTGGGTCGAATACTTAAAAACAGTGAAATCCTTTCAAGAACATTGCACACAAGTTTCTGTGGTTTTTATTATGTAAATTGGAGTGTGTCACCTCAAAGAGCCATCAGTTGTGTGGTGCTTCAGCAGAGGGTGAGTTCTGATGGCCTCTGAGTGGCAGGAAACACCATCAATTAGCTGAAACCTTATCGGGTGTCTCATTGTAAACTGGAGTATCAACCCAATGTCTTTAAACCTGTTGGTGCAGTGCAGCGTGGGAAAAACAAAATTCCCATGAGAAAATAATCTGTAATCTCTAGCTTTTTGGTTGCTGAAGAGCAGACGCTAATGATGCAAACTGAGAGAGCTAAACTTCACTTCATTTAGTCCATTTTCTTCTGAACCAGACTGGAAAAAATGACTTTGTTGAATTTGGTTTGTTTAGGTTCACACTGCCCATTTGCAAACAAACGAACTCATAAACACAAGTCACATGTACTCACAAGAGGCTTCTTTATTGCTGTTGATAACCTAGAGAGAGAGAGAGAGAGAGAGAGAGAGAGAGAGAGAGAGAGAGAGAGAGAGAGAGAGAGAGAGAGAGAGAGAGAGAGAGAGAGAGAGAGAGAGAGAGAGAGAGAGAATTTGACACAACTCAGATGAATCAAACTAAAAGAGGAAACAAACTGCTCCAACCATCGAACTTAAATCCTTTACACAAGGGAGGACTTTCCCACTCCAGTTCACGGCAACATAGGAAACACCAAAGCAGGCCTCTGAAAACTTGGTGATCAAAGATGAAAGGCAATATCTGAAGGCAAGTGCAACGCAGTACAGTTAAAGATCTCTCAGTGAGATTTTGTGAAAGAGCTTTTGTTCTTCAGATTTAAAACATAGCGGTCACACAGTGGAAAGGGAAGCAATAAAAATATCATATCTCTACACTCTACTGTTTGCACACCAAAGTGATATCTTTGTTTTTGTGGTCATATAAGTGGTGAGTTTGAATGAGAAGCACCGAGCTGCAGAGCAGAGGGGAATGCTCGTTGTGTAATAAACAGTGCAGCTGGGAGGGCTGTTGTGAAGATTTGATTTACTGTTGGAGGTTGTTCTGTAGCTGTCACCACTCAGAAATGTTCATCCCATGCAACCCCCTGAATGTGTGTGGCCTATTTTTGTTTGCATGTTTATCTTGTGTGTGTGTGTGTGTGTGTGTGTGTGTGTGTATGCGTGTCTGTACTGTCAACCAGTGATGGAAAACGTCCTGGGTCTTCTTCCTCATTTGGTACCAGAGGAAATATGACTCAAATGGACGCCATTAGTCCTAATAGGCTGGGGCCAGCTGCACAGGAGACACAGACACACATAGAAAAACAATCACTTAGACGTGCATTGTGTCGTGTTTTTAGCATCTTGTAGCATGCAACAACAAGCAAATGTTCTCTTGCCCTTTTAGTATCTCTGCAGTTTCATAGTATGTTCATCAGTGAGATTAGTCTACCTTAGCTACATTACTGTACATGATACAATAGTTTCTCTCAAAGGTAGGGCAGTATATCTTTAAACTTCCACACTATCTAAAATACACATTGTAACATTGTATATATATTTAGTGGCTAATTTTGTCATTAATAAAGATATGAGTTTTAAAGTTTCCCCCTCCGTTTCAGCTAGGCTCTGTTCCACTTCCGTTAACTTTGGTTGTTTTTTCTGGAAGTGGTGTTCCTGAGATTTTCTCTCTGTATATTTTAAGGTTATCTTCCTTTTTCCTGGATAATAAAAGTTGACCCCCTTGTCTGGTTTACAAAGATAAAACATTTAAATTGTTAGCATTCAACAACTCCAGCTCCCATTGAAAGCTACAAGTTAGCTTTCATTGGTTAACTCGTGGGATATGTTGTTTATATGTGCTAAGCAGGAAAAGTTTTGTTTTTTATTGTACAAATGTACTATCTAGTAGTATGTATTTAGTTTGGAATAAGGATATAAAAACCTAGGTTCATGTTTTAGTTTTAAAAAATACTTACAGAAGCTTTGTCAAACTGAGGCTAGCTAGGAGAGGGTTTTAGGACTGTAATGTTGGCTCTTATTTTTTGTTTGAGTAACAATGTCATTTTTTGGACACTGGAAAAGATATGCTAGGATGACTGTTGCAGTAATAATCACAGGAATGTTAGGCTAGTGAGCTAAACTAGTCTAATCACACGAGACTACTTTATAACTGCAGTCGACATGAAAAAGGCATCCATGGGTTATTTGTGACTCTGCCTTTCACTGGTGCTCCTTTGGTTGCGTGTCTGAATTATGAGCAGTTCACTCAGTTTACCTTCTCAGATTGTTTAAAAAAATTTTGGAGGCTTGAATGATATTTTGATGGGGTTTTTTTGTTTGTTTTTTTTACAAAAAAAGCAAAGATTTGAGAAAAGTTAGAAAAACAAGTTTGATAATTTAATGTAGAAGAAGATTTTATGTTTTTTAAATAATTTTTTTTTCAGACTTTGAAGACTCATACCCATGTTTGGAACCACTGTTATAGTGTATATTTCCAGTGTAATGACAATCTCCATCTTTCTCCCCCTTTGTCCCCCTCTCCTCTTGTCCTCCCAGAGAGGGACTACACCAGTCTATGTGAGAAGCAGCCCATTGGTCGGCTGTTATTCCGTCAGTACTGTGACACCAGGCCAGAACTGAAGCGCTGCATTGAGTTTATGGATGCTGTGGTAAGACTTTGAATGAACTTGTTACCATTACCTGCTTATTCTCTGATGTTCTTACAGCTATCTGTCTTTCACACATCCTCTTTTACTTGTCTGTCCCTGTTTCTCTGTGTCCCAGTCTCTCTTTCTGTGAGTTCTCCCATGAGACTGGCCAGAATCTGGGCCCACAGAGCAAGGAATATGAGAGGAAAGGCAGTGCTTGGTCCTTTGCCTGCTCTTGGCAGTAGCTTGGGGTGGTGGGTGGGGTGGGCGTAGGGGGTGATTAGTGACTTAGACAGGCTGTCAAAGAGCAGACCCCTCCCCTTCCTCCATGCACTCCTCCATGAGGTCAAGCCTACGTCAGAGGCAGGTCCCCTGGGTGAGCAGGCAAACACAGGCCCAAGCTTGTGTCTAGGCCCCTGGAGGTATGCGAGAAAGGAAAACAGGGGGGAATCATGCTTATTTAATAAGAACCTACATTAGTCTTTTTCAAGGTAGGGCGACAGGCTCCTAGGTACGCACACTGGGAGTCACACATACTCACACTGACTGAGAAAAATACAAAAAGACAGAAGACCAAACGAAATTAAACTAGCAACATTTTAAGTGCTTAATGTGTGCTGTTGGTCCCACGGAAGACCTCATGCCTTGGCTGTGATGCATAGTCGCACGGCTCGGTCCCATTCCTTTCTCCGCCGAGCTTGTTTTCAAATAAAACACAAGGCTCGAAGCAGTCAATCTCCAGACCTTCTCCCTGCCTACAGCCATATTTGACCAAAATCACAATCTGTGATGGTGCAATGGGGTGAAAACTAAAGCCTGGTAGGTGACAGATGTAACGGGCAAAGTGTGAAGATGAACATGGTTGCCAGTTTGCTGCCTTGACTAAGATGAGATGTTTTGTCACCAGTAACCTGTTTTTCTTGTCTATTTTAATTTCTTCTCCCTTGTTATTAACCCAACCTTTCTTTCTCTCTTCCCTGTCTCTAACTTCCTCTCTGTCTTCTGGTGCCTGTCTCTCTCTCTCTTTGACCTTATTTGGAGAGATATTAAAGATGGCTGAATGAGTACGCCTTACTGCTGTGGTTGTTCACACTTGTGTTCTTCTCTGACAGGCCATGTACCAGCTAGCTCCTGACGAGAAGAGGAGGGACTGTGGACTGAATGTTTTAGACACATACTTTAATAATGGGGTAAGATGCACACGCTTGCTTAATTAACTGAGCTGGCCAATAAGGACAGTAGAAATTATTGTTCTATTCATTAAAGATAATATTTGCTCACATTTGCAGAAGTGCATCTCAAATCTCTCTGTTTTGTTATGTTATCATTACGTTCGCATTTATTAATGACTAAAAACATATTTGCAATTGATGCATAATTTATCATATGTGGTTCACTGTATCAACCCCTCCCTACTGGTGTGTTACTAGCACCTCTATACACAGCAGTATTAGGCAGTTTATGCTGTTTTCTCTGTTTTTATTCTTGTGGTTTGCTATTTAGCATTATTGGTTGAGACTAACAAGACTTAATTTCTCATAAAAAATCACAAACCTAGAAATGGAGTAAAGGAAACAGGCTGTCCTATAGCGCGAGCTAGAGGAAATGGATTTGGTAGATGTATAAGGTTTAGCTTTAGAGTGTTTACTGTCACAAACCCATATCACACAGTCGTGTGGGTTTCCCTTGTTGTGATCTCAACACAACCACACCAAGACCTTTATTTTTAAGCTTGGTGTACTTCGGTCCTCAAAAGAGTTTACAGCGCCCTGCCCACGCTAAATGAACTGGACCGAACTGACAAACGAACCCAAGTTGTTTTGAACTGGACTGAACAGGTGAAGTGTGACCACAGCCTTGATGTCATGCCCTACTACCCAGACTGTACAGGTTCACAAACAGAAAGGGACGAGCCAACTGATAACGTTTTGATCTGTTTTCATAACCTTGACAGTCTGCAGACATATTACACCATGATCGCTTAGTTTCTGTCCCTCATCTCTCTATCCGCCTCACTCTCTGTCTTCCTCTCTTTAACCCTCAAGTCGGCAGCCCATCTGCCAGACGTACCCCAGGATGTGGTAGCTGGGTGTCGGGAGAGGCTGGAGCAGAGTCCGTGTAAGGAGCTCTTCAATGACTGCACCAAGTAAGTTTCCATCTCTTCCACATATCTGCCATATTGGGTCCTTTTTATACTCTTTGTGACTTGTGACCAGTTGTGATCGGATTCAGTTGGTTCATGAAATGCTTGTTTGTTGGAAGCATATAGACTTTGTGTTTTTCTTTTTGATTGAGTCTGGCCGTCAAAGTGCAGTGGCACCAACAGCGTCCTGTTCCTTCAGAAAGTGTGTGTGTGTGTGTGTGTGTGTGTGTGTGTGTGTGTGTGTGTGTGTGTGTGTGTGTGTGTGTGTGTGTGTGTGTGTGTGTGTGTGTGTGTGTGTGTGTGTGTGTGTGTGTGTGTGTGTGTGTGTGTGTGTGTGTGTGTGTGTGTGTGTGTGTGTGGACTAGAGCACCCTGTCACTAGTGATGATGAGGCAGCTGGCACCTGGAGTGCAGTATTACACACACACAGACTTGCAAACACACATGCACAGTGGAGGCGAATGAAAAAGAGCGGTGGGCAGAGAGAGCATCCGGATGGCTGGCATGAAAACAACAGCCACCTCAGTGTTCCCCACACACACACACACTCTCTTGCAGGTGTTTCTGCTTCCTGCTCTGAGAGCCAGGAGAAGCAAACAGACCAGGGATTATTACCCCGAATGTACTTCTCATTGCATAGACACACACATTCACACACCTCGACGTAACTTTCTATTAGCCCAATAATTTAACTCTGTCACAGTAAGTTTCTGTGGCCCAGGACGTCAACTGAATGATGTATTGTGGAATGTATATCATGATAAGTTGGCACATTTACATTATGATAAATGTATTAATTACTGTTGTTTGCGTCAATGCATTATACTTTGTTCTCTACATTTTTTGTCTCCTTTTGGCTCACCGCTGATATGTTTGTGTCGATTTAAGATTTTTGATGGCTGACCTGTACTGTGTGCTGATTGGTTGGTTACATATCATAGTTTGTTGCAACTTTTCTCATGTTAATTAAAGGGAATTTAGACCATGTATGGAGAATTGTGAGGCGAGTATATCTAAATTCATGATGTTGGTAACATAATACATTTTGATTATTGTTTAGCCCTAACCAGAAAACATCACAAAAGTGCTTAATAGACAAGTATACACATTTTTTCTTAAAAGATTTTACTGGCAGTAAATTGGCAGAAAGTGATTTGCAAATGACATGTGACCCTAAGCTTCTTCCATACAAGGCATTTTATTTAATTGAATTTGTTTGTCAGGAACCATGTGCAATATGAATCTCAAACAAAAGAAGTTTGTATGCACTATATGGCATGAATATAAAACATCAATACAACATGTACAGTACAATCCATGATACACAAAAATCCATGTTTCCTCATTTGTCCAGGGGAGAGCTGAGTTTCTGTGAAGTCCCAGCTTTTACGCACGCAAGCAGACAGATTTGGGTTGGAAACGCTGTGGCCAGCTTCTGATTCACTTGAGCTTCCCCCATGGGAATACCGGAATCTGCGAGAAGGAACTCGGGAGAAGCGGGACTCATGGTTGGGAAAACACTGAGTTGTGTTCTCAGCCTGCGATCCTGTTTTGGCAAAACATATGTAGAGAGCTGTTCAAGAGCTGTTGGATTTCTAAAAACAATAACCCATATCGTTCATAAGCTGGTCATGCTGACTTTGAAGGACACATACACTGTTGGCGATTTTCTTTTATGTTGTAATGAATCTGCTTTCTAGTCATGGATTTATCCAAGTTTTATAGACGAGTAGTTTTGTGGACTGCAGTAATGGAGGTGTGACATCAAGTTAATCTTGTTTTTTAGCTTATTGATTTAGCTTCATTGTTGTGTGTGCTGGTACGGTTTGCCTCAGAGTTTTGAGGGTGACAAAATGAGCAGTCCAGAAACATAACAAGAGATTTGTGTGTGTGTGTGTTAGTGTGTGTGTGTTAGTGTGTGTGTGTGTTATTGTGTGTGTGTGTTAGTGTGTGTGTGTTAGTGTGTGTGTGTTAGTATGTGTTAGTGTGTGTATTAGTGTGTAAAAGAAAGCAAATCAGAGGGAGTTTGAGCTGGGCAAGGTGGTGGCTTGTGTGTGACTGAAGCTAGAAAACATCAGGGGTTGGGTTAAGATGAACACACACACACACACACACACACACACACCTGTCTTCTCTCTTTGGCATCTCAGGTTATGGTCTGTTGGCCCTGTTTCCTTCCCTTCTGCATGCATCTCTGTTTTAACACATCTGAGTAGCCAACAGGGCACTGGGGAGGGCAGAGAAATGGTGTGAGAAACCGAGACACCACAGATTTATAACACTGAAGTTCCACACTTTGTGCCGTGGGAAGCACAGCATCCACTCCATTCAAACTTCTCGACTGGATTTAAAGCACACCAAGCAGAAGTGACAGGCCGTCAGAAAGCACAGCATGAGAAAACCCACGGAGAGTAGTGAAAGGACAGCAAAAGGGAGAAATGGAAAGAAAGTGTTAAGGAGAGCGGGGCAAAACAGCAGTGTGTACAAAGAGTGTACAAATGGCACAATACAGGCACGTGTTTGTGTTACTGAAAGCCTTGCAGTAACAGCATTGCAGATGTTTTTGAATGGGATTCCTGTTCAAGTTTGGTCATCACTCCTTCCACTATCATTATTATTTATATTCCGTTGTGGAATTTTTATTTTCTTTAATTTTCTTATTCCGATATGTAATTCTGACCCAGGGCTTATTTATTTATTTTTTTCTCTAAGGGAAAGCCTGTAGGAAAGCATGGTGCTGCACGTGGAAACGGGATTTTTGGCAGAGCCATACTCCCACTTGCAGAAATGTATTAGCTCACTCATGGATTTTTTTCTGCTGCAGTAGAACATACGGTTATGTCATACCAAGAGTAAAGTGTGACCTTTAGTACATGTGTATCATGGTGTTTTGTGTATCGCCGGTCTTGACAAAGGTCTGTGTGCTGATTTTTCCCCTTTTCTTTTCCTCTCCCTCTCCCTTAGTGTAACAAAAGCCATATTGTAGCTGTGTTTATTTCTACTCCCAGTGGTGTCTGTCTGAGGCTCGACTCCAGGCCAGGCACTGCTAGGCTCCTGCCTTTCTGGAGCCCCTTTCTTAAAGTGTCCGGGACCAGTTTTATTTCGTAAGACTGAGTGAAACCAGTTGACCTGATAAGTGAACATCATTCAGTCCATGGTTTAATGTCAGATTTGAGACAGAACTTGATACAGGAAAAAACGTATGCTGCCATGAGATTGTATTGAAAACATTGTATTGTATCTGTGGCGGTTACAGGGCATACTAGAACTTTCCAGGGTATTTTAATTAAATTAATTGAGCTTTGATGTACATGCTTTTAGTAAAACCTCTGTGAGCTCTGACACTGCTGAGAACAGACTGATAAAGTCCTGTAGACACAGTTCTTCCACTGCAAAGGATAGATGGACATTCATCTCATCTGTAAAGCAACTAGGTCCCATGATGACATAATTTAGTTTTCTTTTACACAGCAGAGGGTGCTCCCCTTGTGGAAACTCTCTACTCCTACTCCGAGCCCTTTGCCAAGAACAGCCACCCCAGGGCTTTTGGTAACCACAGGCAGCCTTCCTCATCCTCTTTAGTGATGAAGTAATTTTAAAATATGGTCAGGGAAAATCTCCTTGCCAAATATGAGCATCTCTTCAACATTTGGGTGGTAGAGGAGGAATATCTACTGCATGGTTTTTAGTCTTGTGTTATAGGCTAGCAGTGGAGATCACCCTGGTCAGCAGGAGAGAAAGTGGTACTGGTTAACAGTTCTTGCCTGCTATGGTTCAGAAGTAGTACAGCTCACAGTTACATTTACGCTTGTCTTTGACCGAATCCTAAACTAAGGATATTATTGATTTCATTGTATGTTAATTGCCTATGTTTATGGTTGTAATTGTAGTAGATTGTTGGTGCTACAGGTATTGCACATAATAGTTAAAGATTACTAAACACTTCTTCAAACTAGGGATGCACCAATTGGATTGTTGAAGTCACATTATATGAAATAGTCACTCATATCGACCAATATCCATGGAGACGGGTGAGAAGAGTACAAATGCAGACGCGGAAAAAGATTAAGTGTTTCTGACATGCCTGTCTTCGGGTAAATAAGTAGTACTAGTACTCACCTCTGGCCTTTGGCTCATACATAAAGCTGATGCAGATCTTAAAACCTGCTTTCTTCAGCTTCATAAAGTTGGCTTTGAGAGGTGTAAAGCCCCTATTGTCTGTCAACCATGATGCAACTGATCCTGTTTTGGATGACAGATTTTTGTCTTATGCTGGATATACGAAACTCTGGATCAGAAGCTTGCATTGGCGAGTTGTTTTTCTTTTCCCAATTGAATATTTGCTATGTCAGTGAACTAGGGATTTCACAGAATAGTCGGCTATCAAAACCACTAGTCAACACTGGACATCATTGTAGGCTCTAATTGTGGTCTCTACTATTTCACCTACTCCCAGATTGATCCTGCCTACATCAGTTAACGCTTTACTGGTTGTATTTGATGATAATTGATCATTGTAATTGGGTAATTACTCATAAGAGAAAGGGCCAAACACTTGATATTAAAGAATTGGACCCACAACTCTGGTGAAGTAATGTCAAAGTTTTCCCCTGGCATTCATCTCTTTTCTCTGTTTAAATATGTTATCTGTCGGCAGCAAGGACAGTATTATTTTTTTCCATAGCCCTTGAAGTAACTGTGAACCTTTCTCAGTACACTTCAGTTCGTGTCTGTTTGGTATGACAGTGTTAAAGAGGACATTTTGTTTAAGTCAAACAACATCTGTAGTCAAAGCAGTGAAAGAGGAGACTAATACTGAGATGCTGGCAGGGTCATGTCAAAGAGTCATGTTCTTACAACTCCCGGTGGAGTGACGGTTAACGAGGAGGGGACTGTTGGGTGTGACCTTTCATGAGCCCCTCCTCTCCTCAGAGAACTTTATTTTTTTGTCATCACAGGTTTCTGTTACCTCAATCCAGGACTTTTACAAAATGTAATTTTTTTGGGGGGGTGAGTATGTCTGAATGTATGACATAATCGCATAGATTCGGAGAGACTCTCACCCACATTCACGAGTGAGGCAAGGTGAGATTAGATGTTCCGCTCAACCTCCTGCTCAGTAAAAACCGGTTTCCCCAAAATCCCCTGTTTCCTGGTTGAGCTGAGTGGAATGTCTCTGTTCAAAGGCATTTTTCATTTTTCACGGTGGTGTATCGGCACTGAATGTTTTTTCCAGTCTTTCCACTGAGAATGGCTTTGAACTGTAACACAGCCGGCAATGCCTAAACACACTCACACGAACACACGGATATACACAAACATGCTCACATATGTGATTCAGGGGTTAGTCAGATAGAGAGGATGTGTGTTTGTAGTCATTGTGAAGGTTAAAATGCGTTTATGTGGAACTCTGGCCAGCTCTTCTGTCTGATTTGTCAAGAAATCTTACATGCACTTGTATTTTTCTCCTGGTTTTCTTGTTACATCTTTATTACCTCGTTATTAAATGATCATCAACCCTCTTTCTCCCTCCCTCCTTACAGAATAGTTCGTGATTATTTGAGTGGAGCTCCATTTTCCTCCTACCAGGAGTCCATGTACTTCTCTCGCTTCCTGCAGTGGAAATGGTTGGAGAGGTGGGTAGTCACTACAGATTACACACTTGGTAAAGCAGACATGCAAACCATTCCTTTTTCTTACATAAAAACGACACCTGTAATCTTACACACATTCTCTGTTTAAGGTTGCATCATTCATTAGACTTCTTTGTTTGCTAAGGGCAGCAGACTGTCCAAACAGTTTTTTTGATGATTCATTATCTCACAAGGAAAACAACTACAGATAATAAAGTACATCATTAATCTAATAAAAAAGAATGATGATAACCTTGTTTTAATATATGGAAGAAATGCTTACAAACCAAAAATGAACAGACAAACATTCCAGTATACAGTATATTTAGACTAGTAGCAGGGGAGGTGCACCAAAACAAAAAGGTGGTGCTATCAATCAGTGTTTCTGTGTGAATGGTAAATAATTGATGATGCTTTGCATAATGGCTGGGTAACTGAAGCAGGGTGGAAACAGCAGCCATCAGGATGGATTAATAATATATTAGAGCATTACTCTGTCTGCAACTTCACATGGTCTTAGAGAATGGCATAACCTGGTTCAGGTATTTTACATCTTTTTTTGTCTCTCTTTCTTCTTTCCACCCCTGCAGGCAACCAGTAACCAAAAATACCTTCAGACATTATAGAGTACTAGGAAAAGGTGGATTTGGCGAGGTGAGTGTCCAGAAGTAAAGTGGAAATAACTAACTGGTTATTAAAGTGTTTATGATGGATGCTGAGGCAGCTTCATGTTCCCTTACACAGTACACAGAAAGTTTGGAAATGAGACGTTAATGTTAATGATTTAAGTTGCTACATGTAGCCTTTAACAGTTAGTTAATGCCGTGCTGTTTATGTCCCCACTCACCTAAGGTTGGGTGTAGAAATCTGTGGTGTGACACATTAACTTCCATTAGTTGTACTTTTAAAGTGTGTTTTTTTTATGTGCATGTGTGTGATAATGTTTCCTCGCTGCTTGTTTTCCAGGTTTGTGCCTGCCAAGTACGTGCCACCGGTAAGATGTACGCCTGTAAAAAGCTGGAAAAGAAACGAGTGAAGAAAAGAAAAGGTGAAGCAATGGCACTAAACGAAAAACGCATTTTAGAAAAAGTTAACAGTAGTTTTGTAGTAAGTACTACCTTTTTATTATTCAACCTTTCAACAGAAATGTACCTGTTTTGTCTGTCTGTGTGAGTGTTGTGTGCGTTCTGTATGTGAGAGCATTGCTTGTTGTGGCTCCAGGATCCTGCAAATGAAATTAAAATGGCGTGTGTGCAAGGCTGTCGATCAGCTGTTAAAGACAGTTGCTGTGACTCGAATTCTGTTTGTTCAATGACGTCCAGGCCAGTTTGATGAGCTTGTAAGTCGCAGTGGAAAGAAACACGCTGGGATAAAACCACAAAAGGGGGAAAGGAAAGTCCCATTTGATATAACTGAGCAGCTGCAGGTGACAGCACACTGCAGGGCAGTTTGCAAGGATGTGCAAACATTTTGGTAAGTTTAGCCTTTTATGTGCATCAGCAATCAAAGCCAAATCTAAACTTATTTTGGTAATAAACCTGCTAAATAAACAGGCAAAATGCCTGTGCAAACATGCCAAATCTGGTTTCATTTGGAGCATACTGTCAGCCTTTAATCATCTGTGAATGTATTCTAAAATGTGATTGCTATCTGTTTTGCTGTCATAAGATTTTTGTGTGTTCTTGATATGTTGACTCAAACATGCAGATTGTTTGTCTCCCTTTTGACAGGTGTGTGTCATAGATTGTAAGGAAAGATAACACACCCCAACACACGCCCCGTTACACCTGTCAGAGCAGGAAGTGTCAGATTTCAGAGATGATTTTGAGGAAGCACTGCTCTGTAGAATAATATCAACATGATTTCCATAGAAATTCATAGAAGCATTGCACTTCTTTTCATAAGGAAATAATATTAAACCTGCTCTTCCTTGTTGTCCAACCAAACTAAACAACCAGTACAAAGGCCATTTATAGCATTACTGTATGGTGCTTTAGCTAGAACACCACATAATGCAGGAAAAGTCCAGGGGGCTTCGGCCCCCTCCAAAGACTCTGTCTCCTTCCTTGAGCTCATTGTTTTGCAAACCAACTACATTGAATTGCCCTGAGGAATTCTGCAGCACTATTTAAGTTTCATAATAGAGCAACAGCATGGAGAAGAAAGTAGTACAGTGTCCTGCTCAGAGCATGTGTGCCAGCCCAGAAAAAAAGAAAAGAAAAAATCATTACCCTGCCACCGTACCACCATGCTTCAAGCTCTTAATGGTGGCGTTGCTCTTGGCTGATTTTCCTATGGAGGATTTTCATAAATTGAGCCATAGTCATGAGTAAGCGGTGGTTTTTGGCTGGTGCTGTAATGCCAAGCTTGAACGCTTTTTAGGGAGTCACCTAGCTTTTCATTTCTTCCATGCTCTACCAAAGTACTGACGGGTAGAAATTTACAGTTGACAGTCCATTAACATGTAAGATGATACATTATAGGAACAGTGCAAGACCTGAAAGGGAGCTATCAGTAACATCTATGGGTCATAAATGAAATTTAAGAGTGATGAGACTGGGATAACCTTGCATGTGTAACTTATTTCCATTAAATTTCTATGAAAGCAATGCTGAAATACACCTGAAATAAGGAAGATTGAGTTTATTAGCTGGTGTTTTGTTAAAGTGAGTAGCAAGAATAGAAATGTATCAGTTCACACATTTCTTGACTCCTTTTACCTCTCACAGTATACATGTTCCTGGTGTGCCTGTCTTTTTTTAATCTGCATTAACTGCCTGTATATAAAAATGCTTGAATGTTAATACTGTTTGACTACACATGTTGACATCAGGAGTCAAACGCAGCTGGAAAACTAGTGATGTGTGCTTCTCTTTCCATTTTGCCCATCTGTACGCACAAAAACATCTCAGGTGCTCCGTCAGGAAAGGAAAACTTAGTTTTGGCTCAGTGTTGCATTTCTCTTAAAATGATTGTTCCAAAGACAAGAAAATTACAGCAAGTGCTCGTTTAACGTTCTTGGAACATGTAGAGGAGCGGCTGGAGGGATAAGCATGCTAATTTTTGCTCTGTGGGTCTGTGTGCAGTGTGTACTTTGTATATGTGCACACACTGTAGAACACGATGTTCTACCGTTTTACTGTACAGAACTGTGATATTGATCTGTAGTACAGTAAGCTGGACCGTAAGAGAGCTGAGCATCAAAGCCTCTCCATGTTCTCCATTTGAAACTAATGGTTGTGTTTGAGTTGTACTACGTGTTGGATTAGTCGGTTTCTGATGCAGCGTGAGCTATGTTGCGCGTCCTTGTGTTGAGTGAGTCATGGCAGAAGCATGTGTATGGGCATGCATACACACACACACACACACACACACACACACACACACACACACACACACACACACACACACACACACACACACACACACACACACACACACACACACACAGAGAGAGAGGCTGGAGTGGGCTTGTTACAGAACCTCAGACTTGCAGCTCTTGTCACCTGGGATTGGCACATGATTCTGCGTGTGTGTGTGTGTTCATTCTCTGTGCTGCAGGCAGAACTGATGACTCTTCATGTGCCTCTCTACCTACGAGAGCAGCTCTGTTGCCTAGCAACACTGACCAAACAGCAGTAGCAAGGAGAAGAGTCAAGTGCTCTCTCAAACCCCTCATTTCTCTCTCTCTCTCTCTCTCTCTCTCTCTCTCTCTCTCTCTCTCTCTCTCTCTCTCTCTCTCTCTCTCTCTCTCTCTCTCTCTCTCTCTCTCTCTCTCTCGCTATTCTTCTTTACCTTTTTTTGATCAGTGCATCATACTATTAGTCAATACGTACATAGTGCTAGCTTACTGTATGTTTTAACGAGTAACCATCCACATATCAGTGTGTGGGTGTGTATATGTGTATGTGAGACACAGGGCACGGTGACCCTGTTCTAAACTCTCCAGCAGGTGAGACTGAGGTAGAGCTACCTCGTTCGATGGAGATTGGCTGGCTGTCACTTGAAACGTTCTGATAGTGGTGCCACTACGATCAAATTGTTAAAGAAACACTAATCAGACTTCTTTTTGAACATCAACATTCACTTACTGTCCTGTCCATTACCTGAGAAGATTAAACTCCAGGGGGAGGCACAGCGGATGTTGTGATGTTATGATTCACCTCCTTTGAGGGTAAAGTAATTTCCAGTAAGCCGATTTGCCTTTGGTTTTCTTTATTTCTGTGACTTTATTGCATTAGCATAGATGTCGGGCAATGGTAGAAACTATGATTGCACAATTAAAATACTTGGAGCTTCTTTCATCATTGGAAGGCTTTTTGGATATTGTTTTTAATAGTGTTTTAAACCTTTTAAATAAAAAAACTGACACCAAGCCTACTGTGAGAGGCATTGTTTGCAGTGCCAAATTAAATAGATTTGTCCATTGCTAATTAATAAACATGATTTTTGGATGTTTGCTCTGGCTTGTAGTAATATTTGTGTGTTTGTTTAGGTACACTATGTATATGTATGTGTCGTTCACTTGGCCCGTAAGATTTTTTTCCCGTCCCATCTTGTGGTCCGTTTCTGACTGCATAGTCCGCAGCAGATGGGATTTCTCCCGATGGCAGCAACATCCTGCTTGTATACAACGGCACATGCACACACACTATACCCTGCATGTCACTGACCTGCAGGGAGGGGAAGGAAAGAGGAAGGGGGAAGCTGGTGGGAATAAATAAAGGGAGAAAAGAGAGCTAGAGGGTGGGATTAGAGGGAAAGGACATGAGGTAGTGGAGTACAGACGAGGAGAGAAAAAGCTTCTGGGTTTCATTATCTGTGATATATCTCTCTTTGTTTCTCTTTGTATACATTCTGGACATTCCATTTGGGATCATGAATATTTGGGGCATTAAACAAACCAAATGAAACAATGAAACACTTATGTTCCTCTAGCCACCCTGTCTCTTTACCCCCCCCCCTTTTCTTCATGCCCTCTTCCATACGGATTCCTTGACTGGTCCCTCACTTCCCCAAATTTGCCTCCCTCTCCAGGTTAGTCTAGCATATGCCTATGAGACCAAGGATGCGCTGTGCCTGGTGTTGACCATAATGAATGGCGGCGACTTAAAGTTCCACATCTACAACATGGGCAACTCGGGCTTCGATGAGCAGAGGGCCATCTTCTACGCTGCTGAGATCTGCTGTGGCCTTGAGGACCTGCACCGTGAGAGGATAGTCTACAGGTTAGGTCACAGATGAGGAATGATAGTATTTTTGTTTCGAAGATTACAAGATACTGTAGGTTGGCCATCTTTACTGTCTCAAATAAAAAGGACCATGTTATAACCTCTTAAGACAGCATTAAGCATAGAGGCTTTAGGAAATATTTCAGGGGTATTTTGAGCATCTCTGTCTCTGAGGACTATTGTTTTGAAATTTACAGCCCCAGAATCACGTTATGTAATCTTGTTGTTGTCTACAACAGACTTTAAAGGGGCATTTCACTGATTTTGCACATGAAATTCTATTAATACTTGCCATGAGAAGCACTACCAGTAACAGTTGTATGCTGTGTTTTGTGTCTCTGGAGGGAGTTTTTTTTTTTTTTTTTAAATTAAAATAACCCTGATGATGATGCTGTAGTTATGTCATCAGGGTTATCTCTATTAGGCTTGGGACTTTTTTGATAGAAAGCCTGTGTTACAATTTGAGGATGCGGAGTTTGAAAGGGGTGCAGTTTTTACCAGGCAGTGAGGGTGTAATACCGAGTGGCATCATGGGAAATTTGAGATTTTGGAGCTTGGCCAATCCCCCAGGGAGTGTGCCAGGCTTTGAAGCCAATTTGACATAGTAGTCAAACTGTGTAATTACAACTTCCGGGTCCATCACCCTGATGCACCCTGGCCCAAAAATATTTTTTTTCCTCTTACACAATCTTGGAAAAACAAGTGTAAGACAGTGGCTTCATGTTTTTTTCACAGCCCTTGTGAAATGACTTAGTCCATTTGGTCCACTAACATTTGGAAAGTCTAGAAGCCCCGCACAATTAAATAATTTTATCCCCATTCAAGTTAGCGGAGGACTAAACTGGAAGTTAGCTGGCTCGGCTGGTGGGGGTCTCTGGTGTTTAGTATGCATTCATCCGGATAATTTCTTTACAGTGGGAAGTGGCTTTATTGGACTCATGCACCATTGATAAACATTAATAGAAATCAACAAAGCTCCGCCTCCAACGGTGTGTCCAGATCTTACTTTACATCCATGAGCTCAACCCATACTAAGAGCTAAAAGTCAAAATATCTTGTCTTCTGCTTCTTTAGAATTCGACATTCCTTTTTTTTTTTTTTAAATCTGTCTTTTTTCAAGTCTCCAAACTATATGGAAGTGCAAGTGTAAAGCTATGGTGTTCCATTAGAGTGTTTGCAGTGGTGTAAGATGGGGACAAGTGCAAATACAATGTTCCAGATGACGAAGTGTCACTGGATTAATGGTACTGATTTCACTGAGGTGTCATGCACCTGTCACACTCAATGGAGCCTCAGAGTAATGCTAACATAAACACTGATGTTCTTAGAGGACAAATGCACCCACATACAGAAGGCCCATGTAGTCATATAAACACACACTGTTCCTTGGTCTCTGCATGTATTTCAGTAAACTTCACAGTTGGCATTGTGGTTGAGCTTGGCATTAGTTAGTAGAGAGCCCCAGTTTTCAAATGTTATAGCTGTTTATAATAAATAACAAAGTATTTGTCTTACGCAGTTATTTGACAAACAATTGTTTGGCTTGAAAGAAGGTTAAAATAAAGTAAAATAAAAATATGGCACCTTTTTAATTAAAAAAAAAGGCCTTAACATATAAATGATTTTTGAGATGAGATTTATAGCTAGGCACTGTCTTTACAAGCCTGAAATCCTCAGGCAGGAAGTTTGGTTGCAACACTGCTGAGAACAGGAATATAGCTCAGTACAATATAACACATGATAACAAATAAAGCAAATAAAGATATGTGTACAGATAAGCCATCTATTAATCCACATGAAAGATTGTAGAAGCTCAATAAAGGATACAAATATTTATCCAGGATTTTGTTATATCCTTGTACTCAATTTTTATACAAGAACAATATCAACAGAATGACTCCCTAATGTTTTATTTTTTCTCGCAGGGATTTGAAACCTGAAAACATCCTTCTGGATGATCGTGGTATGTTCCTATTAAACTTTTTTTCCCTTCTTGTTCAGTTCAAGCCAGAGTGGGCTAATATTTGGGCACATGTCTTGGCTGGAGAGTATTGTTTGTTTTTTTACACTTCTTTTGTTATAACCCATACCTCACAAGGTACAAGACAAAGCAGTTTGTAACTAGTCCACATTGTAATTTACAAGCACATTATCGCCCCATCTTTCACAGGCTGAAAAGTCATCACTTCAAGTTCTTCACATCACGCTCTCTCCTCTTAGTCATCCTCATCTATTCTCTGTAACATGGTCTTATCTTGAAATAGAGGAATCTCCACGATGTCTCTCTTCAGCTCTTATTTTTGTTATTCTCTTTCACACATTGTTATTGGGGCACTATGGATTTGACCGTATTGTGGATGGATATCTATGAAATGCAATATATTCCTCTTGTTAGTTACTAAAAAAGTGTCATTTTTAATTAAAATATGTACATTCTGCATGATCTCAATTAGGTAATAAATATATGGTTCTTGTTTAGGACACATCCGTATTTCAGACTTGGGTCTTGCTGTTCAAATCCCTGAAGGAGAGACGATACGAGGGAGAGTGGGCACTGTTGGATACATGGGTGAGAATTTTAGCAACCCTCTTCTACATGCTTTTCTAATCAGTCTTTCATTCTAATTTACTAAAACCACTGCAACTATTCCTCTACCTTCTCTGTACAAATCGGAGCTCTCCACCGCTCCCTATGAGCATCATTAACTGTCTCATTTCCACTTGATTCGGATTGTAAACCCCTCTGAACCCCACCTCTCTTTTCTCACTCGTCATCCCTCCCTCCAGCTCCTGAGGTGATCCAGAACGAGAGCTACACTGTCAGCCCGGACTGGTGGGGGCTGGGCTGCCTTATCTTTGAGATGATACAGGGTCAGTCGCCCTTCCGCAAGCGCAAGGAGCGTGTCAAGCGGGAGGAGGTGGACAGACGTGTGCGTGAGGACCAGGAGGAGTACTCTGATAAGTTCTCAGAGGAGGCGAAGGACATCTGCAGACAGGTGAGAGTGAGGAGATGGAGGTGACAGATGGCTGTGATGGTTTCAGTTCAGTATATGCATGAAACTTCAAGTACATGTCTTCAACTACTCTTGAGAGAGGAAAATATCTAGCTCTTTAGCTGCTAAATGCTCCACTGTGTTCACCAGCTAGTTGCTTAATTTGTCCGTCTGTCTTTTGGTACCACACAGTGGCTTTATCAGAGGCTTTTTGCTTAAAACTGGCTGAATACAGCGCAGGTGAGAACAGTGAGACTGAATCCAAACGGTAAAAGTGGGCTGTAAAACCAAAACAATCAGTTGAAAGAAACTAAATTCCTGTGAGAACTGCCGAGTTTGGTGGACAGTTCTGTGAACTCGTTACTAGTAGCAAACGCTTTGATAATATAGAAATCTCCCCCAATATTGAAAATATTGATGAGGGCAGGTTTAAAGAGATCGGGAGCTTGAAATATTTACATATGTCTTTCACGGTCTGTTCTGTGCTCCAAGAGGGAGCCACTGAGCTGCTTTGCCTGTGAGCAGGAGGGGACGGGACGTTTATTTGTGTGACGCGGTGGAACATTCTGACCCTGAGGTTCAGCAGATTCAAAGACTCCCCAGGGAGAGAAGGAGTTGGGGGGGGGGAGGTTTTAGCAAGAAATGGGAGAAAGATAATAAGGAAGGAAGGGAGGGGAAGGGGGGTCTCTGCCATAAAGAAGAAATGGCTATTACCACTGTCCGAAATAGACAAGTGATTGGAGTTGTCAAGAGGAGAAAGTGAGAGTCTGCTTTGAACCCTGGCGTAAATTAGGAAAGAGTTGCACAATGACATGAGGAACAAATGAGCGAGAGAGATGTGGTGAAAATGTGAAAAGCCATTGCTTTGTTGATTGTGAAAGCCACTGACTTTTGGGTGACAACCAGTCAGGGCCAGTGAGGATGCCCACTAGTAGCCAAACCACTAAACAGCACTCATCCACTCGATAAGCCTGCAGTACTGTAGGTGGTGTGGTGGTAATATTATCCAGAAGCTCTCATAGACACAGCAGTGGTACTCTTGAAGTTTGTCCATGATGGTGCTGCATTAACCCCTGAGTGTATGGATTTGTATTGGTTGTTATTAGATTATGTAGGGTTAGATACATAAAGTCAAGCGGATTAAATGCAAACTAAGTCCATGTGTGTGCTTTGTACACATCGAACAAGAAGGATTAGTCATAAAACTGTCAAGAGTTATCCAACTTCACAGGAACCCCCCCTCTTCTAGAACTGGGCTTAGATATAAGTTTGTTTTATGAGATATTTGAAATATATTAAGCTATAATTTCTCTGCCAAAGCCATTTAAGCTAACACATTCATTATTAGAGAGTTGTGATGTTTAAATCCCTTCTGCCTCTTCCTCCCGCTGCACATCAGCTCCTGGCTAAAGACCCCAAGGAGCGACTTGGTTGTCAGGGTCGAGGGGCCATAGAGGTCAAGCAGCACCCTATCTTCAGAAACATCAACTTCAAACGGCTGGAGGCCAACATACTGGACCCTCCCTTCAGCCCTGATGTAAGAACAGCACACACACACACACACACACACACACACACACACACACACACACACACACACACACACACACACACACACACACACACACACACACACACACACACACACACACACACACACACACACACAGTGCGCACAGTACATACAGGCTCAATTCACAGCTTGTAGCCTGAAACCTTGGTGAGCTGCAAATCAGCATACAGGAAATACCATTGTCACAAGTAAACAAACACTTCCAGTATAAGCTAGTTATCCTGGTAGACAGAGGGGGTGGTAAGAATCAGGCGTGTGATTGTGAAGTGTCGTCGTTTGAAATCCCAAACATGCTTTCTATAACAACTCAAGCAGAATTGTGTTGTTTCATGGTAATCGTCACTAGTACGTCCAGTGGAGATTTTCAAAGGTGAACAGTAGATGGCTGCCCCTTAAGAAACTCTTAAGTGTGAATACATAAATGTAACTATGGAGTGTAATACAGACCACTACCTTGCCTGGATGAATGTGCTTCAACTAGAAACACTGCTTTTATTGTGTCCTATACTCATAGATTCCTTCCCTACAATAACAAAGCTGTTCATAGAGAGAATCATTACATTTTCAGAGTAATAAAGAGCCTGGGTAAGGGAGAGTGACTGACCTTAGAGGTTAAATCAATAGTTGAAAGTAGATGTTGTTATCTGTGTTTCTATTTTGGGTTATTCTAGTCAGTAGGGCATCGCTGAGGAAAATAAATCAGCAAAAGGGCCCTCAGGGATGTGAAGATTTCCATGTTATTTAAATAATCATCTGCCTGTAAGTATTTCAGGTTTAGTATTCTCCTTTTTATCCAAAATAAAAACACTGCTCACAGTTTTTCTCTTTCTCTCTCTCAGCCTCGGGCCGTATACTGTAAAGACGTCCTAGACATCGAGCAGTTCTCCACTGTCAAAGGCGTGAACCTTGACCCCACGGACGACGACTTCTACCACAAGTTTGTCACAGGCAGTGTCTCCATCCCGTGGCAGAACGAGGTACTGAAGGCTCAGGCCACTGAGATGATGTCATCGTTCAGTCCCACAACAGGCAGATGCAACGCAGTACACCACTGATGACATAGAAATACCTTTATTAATGAAGAATACCTTCCTTTAAGAGTAATGTGGAGGGAGGAATTTACGTAAATGCTTTTAAATGTGAATATGCCATTGTGAATGAGTTAAGTTAGAGAATATGTATAAGACAAGTTGTGGAGGTGTTTATTTACATCCTAAATGCTCAATCCATATGGATACTTAAACAGCTACCTGTAGAGAAGGTTGTTCTATAAGTAAATGGCACCCATTCTTATGCTGACCCACGGGCCTTTTGTAGAACTAAACTCCTGAGGAAGTTATTAGTATGGATAACTCGACCTCTCGTCCCTTTGTAGATGATTGAGATGGAGTGCTTCAAAGAAATTAATGTCTATGAGACTGATGGGACGCTGTGCTCAGACCTGGACGTGAACCGGCCTAACCCTCCACCAAAGAGAGGCTTCTTCTACCGCCTGTTCAGAAGAGAGGCAAGTGCTAGTGCTCCGCCAATTGTCCGAGGGGGTGGGGGCTAAGGTACTTCTCTCTTCCTTCTTTCCTTCCTTCCTTTTTTCCCCCAGGCCTTGTCCAAACTCAGCTTGTGAAAATGTTACCACTAAACCCTTGTTGTTTCCAGTTAGGTCAGTTTAAATTGATTAGAATATAGCCTCCCATATTCCTTTTCTCTGGGGTTGAAAAAAAAACACTTGTTAATCCCTTAGAATATTCTTTTCTGCATCTGTTGTTGTGCTACTTTGTTTCAGAAAGTCTAAGGGATCTTTTCTTGATTTGTGGCTGTGGGAGGACCTGATATCAAGCTTTGCTTTTAAGATACAGTGACACATGTCACAAAATGTTTAAGTGGTAAAAATGTGTATTGGTTGCAGGAGCTACTCTACTAACAAGTTATTTCCACTATTTTGTGCTTGTTCAAACTTCGCTTAAATTAAAGGGTGTAACTGATGGGATGGGGACTTTTTATAGTTTCATTTAATTTTTTTTCTTATTGAAATCACTAAGTGATCTCTTACTGGCAAAATGCAGATAAGATTAGCGAGGAGTTGATAAAATCATCATCTAACTAACCTTGAATTATTTGCCTGTAGAAATAAGCTTTATGGGCAGCAGTGAGTGCTCAGTGGAGGTTGTTCGCCCTGAGTTTTGCCTCTCAGACCACATTCAGTCCGCCCTATCTTATTGGTGAAGGTTCCTGTATTCAGTCTGAGAGACAGACTGCAGGCACTGCTCCCCGCTGCCTCTGCATGTTTTTAAGGTAAAAACATTTGAGTGTCAATCAAAGATAAGGCATCATGCAAATACAGCATTATCAGGTCTCTGTCAAGGAAACCACACATCATTTTAAGTAAGGATAATACTTAAGTAACAGATGTACATAGCATTTGTGTAATACTACCATGATTATCAAAAGCACAATAACCAGTTTCATCAGAATATGTTTTTGCTGCCATACCTACACCCTTGCTTCAGTTGCATGCCTTATGTTATCTTCCAACTTGCTCACAGTTACCAGGTACCAGCTTGGACACTACAGAAATACTTCCTGTGACAAGGTTAAGTCGGGGTTCAGCCGAATGTGACATCATTTCGCACACGTGCGATGGCGTGGTGATTAAAGTGGCTAATATTGGTGATATATCTTCACTTTTGGTTGTTCCCAGGTCTGTTTTAAGAGCGGTTACAGTGACGATGAGATCGAAGAGCCCTCGCGACTTTAAACCACTCCCTCCACCTGCCTCCTCCTCCCCCCTCGCCGCTGAACTTCACCACAAACTCCAACCGAGCGCAAATCTTAGGAACTCAGTGAATGTTGACCTGTATTTATGAGCTGTATTAAAAGTGTATTATAATTAAAGAAAAAAGTATGAGTTTAAAGATTTTGTACATTTGTACTTGAATTTATGTCTAGATGTATATTTTCACTAAAGGTTGTATTGTACAAAAAGCCATAAAAGTACCACTTGAATGCATACATTACATTTTTATTTCCTGTTTATTTTCTTTTGGAATGAGTATGGATAATGTGTATTGGGGAGTTTTTTTAAGAAGCACAGTACCAGTAGTCTTTTTATTTTCTCAATGTAGCATAAGGCCTTTTTTTGTTTTTAAATGTGCTGTATGTTTGTATGTCATTGATTTGGCCAATGTGACACGTCAGATCCACCCGGTCCCACACTAACCTTTGGCCGCCGCACCCCTCAAGGCTCAGGTAGATCTGAATGAAGTGCATAGATCCAATTGAGATTGGGGAGAAATAAATCCAGTCTAACATTGTTGGGTTGATGCCATGCTGCTTAAGCCTTCCCAATATTTTCCCCAGATCTCCACCTGCTCCTTTGATTTTAGTTGGTTTGGAAGCGATAATCCCCATCCTTCCCTCGGCCCAGTTAGTCAGGTTGCACTGGACTGGATGGCATGTGTAGTAAACCGTTTTTTAGGTGCCTGTATCAACTCGATTCTAGCAAAGATGGCATGGATTTATTTTCTGACAATCTATCAATCTGACAAGTCAGCATGTGCAACAATAAGAATCTATTAAAATACAAAGGAAATATTACAGAGGCTTTTTTCCTCGTAATACGAGGCCTGATAATAATCATTCCAGGAGCTCTTTTCAGAAATCTCTCATGAGCTTCAAAAGACTCAGAACATTAATTTCAGATGCCGGACAGTGTTTCCTTCGGGATCGCAGCTGTTAAGTCAAAGTCTGTTACATTAATCACTCAGGCAAAACTATTTTTGGTGATTTATCTTTATTCCTCATCCTTTTTTTTTTTCTTTCCTCTGCTTCTTTTGTTGTACTACCTGGCTTTTCTTTGTTTTGTTTTTTGTTTTTCCTGACGTGTCCAGTTATTATGAACCATGTGTGGAGAGGAAGTCCTTTCCCTTGAAATATCCTAGTAATTTGCCACCCATGTTTGTAGTATAACAGAAAGTGTAGGACAGGTTGACTGGAGAATGAATTGGAACACAGAGACTGATGGGGATGATGGGACTATATCAGAGATCTGACCTGCAGCTGACAAGGGCTTCATCTAGAAAACAAATTGCTGTTGCATCAAACTAACTTCCATTGATTTGGCTGTCAGCAGCTATTAGCCTCTGCGCAAGATACAGCCTGCTTTGGCCTTTGTGCCTGTTGATCACAGATAGCAGTCGGCCACTTATCCTACTAGTAGACCTCCAGTTAGATGCTGTGGCTTTAGCTGTGTTTGTACTAGATGAAAATGAGATTTCTTAACCCTAATAGCGCCCACCTTTTAAATATTCCATTTAAATATGTTGTTCTCATAGGAATGACTTGAGACAGTTGCTTGTGTGTGTGTGTGTTTGTGTGTGTGTGTGTATAGAGGGGGAGGAACATGTTTAAACTCCTGCCTGCAGATTTACCATCATCTGTGTACAGGAACACTCGACCACTTGCAGAACCACAGTCGTTGTGCACTTTTGTTTCATCGTAGAAGAAGTGTTTCCTTCCGAGTTAACCGATCATGAACAAATACATTTTCTGTACATTTCCCAGCGTGTGCTAATCAGGATCCACTATGTCCACTATGTGTGTTTGTTCTCATTGGCATTTCAGAGGCATTTGAAGCCATTTTGCTTTTGAATTTTGCTTTTGAGGCAGTTGCTGTTTACTCCCCACCACCTGTTTTAATGCTGTGAATACTTAATCTGGACATGTCCGCTTTGTTTGTGCAAGTGTATATTACGCTGTATGCAAATGCAGCTTTTGTTCAAAGTAACGCATTACAACAGTACAATAGTTCAAAATCACATCGGGACTTGAATGTCACTCAATTGAATTTCAAACTATTCGAGACTTCCTACCTTTGAAATGGTACGCATATAATCCCCCCTTTGGGTAACTAATTTGTTGGCCCATTCTAAAAAAATGTTGTCCCCTGTTGCACATTCCATTATCAAAAATCAGGAATCGAACGTGTGCATCTAGCTGTTGCTGGCTTGTCGTCACTTGAGTTTCTGAGTGTCTTTTTTGTTATTTTTTTGTTGCTCTCAGGCACATTTTGAAGCTGATTTCTCTTGCCTATGTAGATTTTAGCCTCTTAGCTCTTTAGCCTCAAAAACCTTGTAAATGATGTATTTCTAACATGTAACTAAGCTCTAACACACATTCACTCACTCTCACAGGGAAACATAACTGTGTTTGCCACCCATGCCTCTGTCATTGTTTGAACTTTACTCTTATACCATCCATATAGCAGTAAAGAGATATCTGTTTAGTTTCATTGCACTATGGTGTGTTTTGACAATGACTATAGGAAGTGTCTTTAACTTTTTGCCAATGATACCAAAAGCAACATTAAGTAAATCCAACTTGTTTTGTTATCTGAAAAATTGACTGAAGAAAGACTGTCAGCCTTTATTGTATGTGCCAATTACCAACTTAAGTTCTGACATCCCGCCTTTTTTTCAACCTTTCAACCATTCCGTCCATTCTGAGAGAAATTCCTTCACATAGAGGAACTTTAAACAGCTCAACAGTTTTGAATGTCCGCACTAAGTGCATTGTAATGCCTGTTTTAAAAAATACATATGTTTTATTACTCAAGCATGTATCGGTTTGTAATACTTCAGGTTCCTTGTATATGTAAATGATGACCTTCTAGTGCCAACATATCTCACTGGTATCTGAGGACAACTTTATAAATGGCAAGGTGACCAGCTGAGTTGGCCCCGTTTGAATACATGACAAGCATTCCTTCTCTCTTGCCTTCCTCTGAGGCGGTGATGGTGAGTCTCCCCCTGAACACTGGGATATCGCTCACCAGCAACGTGTAGAAGCAAGAGATCCTCAGTTCCTTGATGTCACTCGAGCCTAGTTTTGGGATAAATGCCTGGAGGTTCTCGGGTTTCACAGTCCTCTGTCCAGATATGTCAGATAAATTATATTTTCAAGAAAGGGGGAAATAACATGCATTATTGGTATTCAAACGGGGCCTGGGACTTCTTGATTTTCTTCTTTTTTTGTATCTGTACAGTCATGTCGTTCAACCACTGCAGTCATTGTTAATTCTTGTACAAGTTGTATCACTGGTTGTTGTACCATATCTGACATTTGTAATTATGAAATAATACACTGCCATTTGTATAAAAAAAAACTTGTGTCATGACTTATTTGTGTCATATATTAATTGGTTTGTTAATAAATGTGAATAGATGGGAGAAAATAAGTAAATAGATAATAATAAATAATAAAATATAAGTAGAAAGCAGCGTCGTGGTGCTAAGACCTAGGTTATGTCCAATATGTATCTGCACATATGGCATTACAGGATATTAGCTGCAGGTAAGACTTTATTAAAGCTCGCTTCACTCATTACATAGGAGCTAACTACACATTAAAGTTAGAGATTTATTTCCATTGGTCTTTTCTCCACTGATTCTGTCCCTCTATAATTGAGCATATGAAGGTGAGAGCAAGATAAATTAGATTGTCTTTTTTTCCCCTTAAATTGATTCAAAGTATGCTGTTCTGCTGTATGCTGTAGGCAGCTCAGCCTCCCCACTGTCACACCTCCCACTCTCGTCTTCCTCGGCGCTCGGATCAGAGCCACAAATCGGCATCGGTGTTGATCAAATATGTTTTTACAATCTGGGATTCAGTGGTCTCGTGACCGCAACAATAACAACAAAAGAAAAAAAACAACCCCACAGTCACTCATTGGTTCTTTCTCCAGTCACTCAACATAACGCCGCAGTCTGATTGGCCGCTGACTTTGCACCTCTGCCCTCTCTGTCAAGCTCACATATGCCACTTCCTGGTTTGATTTGTCGGGTGGACGCAACGCTGCATCAAAGATGGCTCATTATCAACCAACATTTTGTTCATGTAGGACTAACTTTGTGAAAGAATAAGAGATATCTGGCACGACAGAAGGCGGAGAGCCGGTGGTAGTGGTCGCGGGCAGTGTTGGCACTGTCGTCGCACTACGCACCGCTTGCTCCTCCGTACGCTAACTGGTCCCCACCGTGCTAACGCTAGTTAGCTCACATAGTAAATATTAGCCAGCCGAGCTAGCTTGCTTACTCTTGATTGTTAAAATGGCCACCATGGAGAAACTGATGAAGGCCTTTGAGTCTCTGAAGTCCTTCCAGCAGCAACAGGGACCACCGACCGCCGAGGAGCTCGTCCAGAGGCAGTAAGTGGATGTTTGTCTGACGCTGATTGCACGGCAAGCTAACAGGTAGCCTAGCCCACCAGCTAACGGTAGTGCCCCTCAGGTAACCAAGGTTTAGGTAATTGTTGACTTGAAGCTACTTGTGTTAACATACAAGCTAGCAAACATAGTCTACGCTGTTATTTAAACTTCTTCATTACGCCATTGCACCAGTGCTGGACGAGACTTCTTCTTCGCCTGATATTGACGTTATTTGTCAGATTTTTAGGGTCGGACTGGCTGAATGGGAGCTAACGTAGGAGACGTCTGCTAATTGATACCCACGCACCTGATAAAGGGGTCGGAAGGGGTCAGTGTCAGTAAGTTCGGACAATTGTGTTTGGTTTACAACCTAACATTATGTAGTTTATTGGACAGAAGTGTAGATTGTCGTAACTAGATTTGCCGATGATCAGGTGCATTGCTATGGTAGCCTCCTGGACTGACGTCATTGACGCCTGTCCAATATTCATTTGGAAAAGATCTGTCAAGTCCTGAAGTGGGTTTGGTGTTAAAAGTCATCCAGCTCATCTGCCAGTCCAGAGATCCCTGAAATTGTCTATTTCCCCCGTTTATTAGTTTATTAAGGTAATACACTGTAGTTAGACGGGTTACATTAAGGTCATACATCTAGATTAAGTTATTAATCACGCTTTTTCAAGTTGTACCAAATTCACAACAACTTCTATAGTCCATGTAACAGTTTAAAAGCTTTTATCCTCCTGGATAGGATTAGATGTTGAAACTCAATACGTTTAAATGTGTCGAGCCAATAAAGACTTAGTTTAGGGGATAGCGAGGTCTCTCCACTCGTGGATTGAGCTTCTGAACTGAAAAACTGCAGCTGCTTTGCTCGTATATGATTGTCTGCTTATTATATACAGAAAGTCATGAGCAACTTGGACAAAAATCCTAACTGGCGTGCACTGTGTTATAGTCACAGGCGATCAATATAGTGCAGTCCTGGCTCATCTCTAAAGAATCTACCATGTTAACAACTTGCACTGTAATGTTTGCGTGACGGTTGTCTTGTTTAGAAAGTTCATACCAGGAGGTCTCCAGTTTTGATCAGTGATGTAGCCATAGAGTTTATTGCTGCGTATTTGCACATGGCATAATGTAAAACAGCAGCTCCCTTGAACTAGCTGTACAACAGTATTGATCTTTCAACTCCACATCCTGTGCTTTTTATACACTTTGTTATGGTGATTACATATGTTTGTCAAACGACATCATTAATAGTGTAAATTATGGAATACATATGTGCAGTGTTATTCATATATGCTTTACCCAATATTACATTCTGTGGAGCAGAACAGAGCAGGGTTTATGCTGCTCTGTCACTCCTATTCTACATGCTTTTTTACAATTAGATGAGTAAATTGTGGTCTTGTGCCTTGACACTTCAAAACATTTGAATTTGTCGTGTCTGCCTTTTAATCAAAGAAGACCTAGATTTGACTTGATTTTAAAAGTACACTGTGATTCTTTTCAGTGACATCTTCAGAAGTGACCAGTGTTGCAGTGTTTCATGAGATGGCACTGACATTCAGTATTCATCCCATTGTACTATTTGGCTATTAGAAAAATATTTAATGAGGATTCTCTTTAGAGATGGACTGATGTGCAGTCCTCAGTCTCGGAACCCAGCTGTTCTTTCCAATCATTCTTTATCCGTCCTTGTCTTTGCCTCTCATTTTCTCTCCCTTCGTCTCACCCTCCCCATATTTCCTCTTTCACAGGAAAAAGGAACAGGCTACCACTAAGAAGGATCGGGTCACCCACTGCCTGACAATATGTGAAAACATTGTGGCTCAGTCTCTTAGGTAGGCCTTGCTCATCAAACCTTTTTTTTTTTTTTTTTTTTGTTCTTCAATGAAATTTACATTTTAAGGGGTGTCTGTGATAACAATGATGTAAGACAGAGTGCCCAGAAAGCCCACCCGGTAGAGCGTGCCATGTACAAAGGCTAAATCCTTGCTGCAGCTGCCATGGGTTCGAATCTGAGCTGTGGCCCTTTGCTGCGTGTCATCCCCTTTCTTGTCTATCGTCAGCTATCCTATCTAATAAAGGGAAAAACAACAATGTCGTAAGATTATTTAGTTCGGGGCATGAAATTTTACCACTGCTGATTTTATGCACTGCAGCTGGTTAGTGTGCGTGTGTGTGTGTGTGTGCGCGCAGACGTGTTTTTCATTGCCTGGGCTGGACAGTACACACCCTATTTTTGTTGCCAAACATGACAGAATGGTTGTCATATTTTCCTAGTTTATAATTGGAATGAGACATATTTTGCCAGAATAGCCTGATCTGCTGCATTTAATCTTAAGCTATATTAAATCTATAAACTCACATCCCATCTAATTAAATCTGATAAACTATCTACCTACTCCAAGACTAATCGGTTTGTTTGTGTATCAGAATTCACAATGTCACTGGATGTGTTCATTTGAGCATTTCATGTGTGAACAGTTTAGAATAGTTTCACAATGTCTGTTGAGTTGAATATTTATCTGCGTAATGACATTTGCCTCTCTTTTCATTTCTATGGTCCTGGGAACAGAACGTCTCCAGAGTTTCAGAAACTGCTCGGCATCGCCATGGAGATGTTCCTGCTCTGCAGTGATGACAGCGAATCAGATGTCCGGATGGTAGCCGATGAGTGCCTGAACAAAATCATCAAAGTGAGCAGGATCCTGTATTCCTCCAGCAAGGCCCTTTTCAATGTTGTCCCTCATTTTTTCTTCAATAATAGGACAATAAGTTGATTGTCAGTTAATGGTCATGGTACCATGGAGCCTTGATTTGGGTTTGCATGATGTGTTATCACCTTATCAATCAATTAAAAAACAATAATTACATGTATAATAATCAAACTACACATCAAAACAGTATTCTCATTTAATTTAAAATCAGTTTTTTGGTTGAATCAGCCATCCTGCCCAAGATGATCATTTTGATATTTATCTTTAGGCGCTGATGGACTCCAACCTGCCTAGGCTGCAGCTGGAGCTGTACAAAGAAATTAAGAAGGTAATGACATATGTGTCTGTTATAATCAATCACTTTTTAAATGTAACAGTGTTATTCTCACAGACAAGTGACAGAGGGTTGATATTTGTTTAATGTAATGTGTGTAACGCTTTTGTTTGTTTCTCACAAGAAGCTGTATTAGTATGATAGTAGAAATGGACATATTAGTGCTTGTGGTGATGTTAATTGTGTATCTCTGTAGAACGGTGCCTCTCGGAGTCTGAGGGCGGCTTTGTGGAGGTTTGCTGAGCTTGCTCATCTCATCAGACCACAGAAATGCAGGTATACACACAAATAGCTTTTTACTTCATTCACACGACAGCCACATTTAAATGACACTATCCAAAACTCAGAGGGG